ATGGAGGTCGCTGAAGCCCAAAGGCCACCCGAACCCTGCCCATCCTGCAAAGTGATGACTCCCAGAGGCAGCTGGATGGGGAGGGACGGTTTATTCATCCTGCTGTGAGGCACTGGAGGGGAATCCCAGTGTTCCCTTACTGATCCCAGTCACAGGGAGCTCTGCATGTGGGGAGTGTGCTGGTCCCTCCACTCCGGTGGCTGGAACAGCATGGCTGGGGCAGAGAGGAGCTGTGGCCCGGCTCACCCGGGCCCCAGCCTGCACCAGTGGCTCAGCCACAATCAGCCCCAGCAGGACCAGGACCCCGGCCCCCAAGGCCAGGCGCACCACATTGCTCCAGGTGTAATCTACGGGGGACAGGAAGGGACAGTCACTGGGGGCCCCTGGGAGGAGCCCCCCGGGAACCTTCCAAGTGCTCACAGACCAAAGGGGACACAAGGGGAGGGAAGAGGTACACATGGGGCTCCCAGGGCAAACAGACACATGTGGGCAAGGGGTCATGCTGGGAAGCTCGTGGACTAAAGAGGGATAAAGGGAAGTTCATAGGGAGAAAAGGCAGCCCTAAGGACTCCTGTTGGCTCTACCTCCCTCATCCCTGCTCCCTGGTCGACCCCCTAACCACAGTCTCTGACTTGTCACTATGCCCAGTGGCACCAAAGATGGAGAGGAGGACAGAAACATGGTGCTGGCCCTCACCTGCCACTGCCAGCCAGACGGTGCCACTGGGCTGCGATGAGACATATGACTGTTCCTGGGGCTGGCAGGTGTAGTCACAGGTGTCCCCTGACCTTTGCCCCTCCAACTGGTAGCCTAGCAACCCTGTGTCTATAGGTGATCTATAGGGTCTCTGAGGAGTTGACAAGGCTCAAAGGCATTTGAAGGAAACTGTAATCCTCTGCTTGGACCTCTCTTACAATTGCTTTCTTCCCCCACATCCTCTTTTCTAGTTCCCCCAGGATGTGGCAGATGCCAGGAAGGAAGAGAAGAGTAGGATGTGGCAGGGGGATGTCTCACCTCTCACCACCAAATCCAGGGTCTTGCTGACAGCAGACCATTCAAACGAAGAAGCACTCTTGGTGAAACACTGGCAGCTGTAGCGGCCCCCATTGCCTTTATGCACATGGGAGAGGTTGAAATCCTCTTGTTCCTTCGTGAGTAAGGCCAGGGTTTCAACCTGACCCTCCAGGTACAGGAAACAGCCAGCTTTGGAGTGTGCGATGGTGCAATGAAAAATCACGTAAGCTCCTGCAGCCACCTCATGCCCAGGCAGGACAGAGAAGACAGGTTTGGGGAGACGGAACTCTGTGGGGAGAGGAGAGGGCACGAGAAGGTGTGCAGGGCCGAGTGCCACGGCGATCTCCATGACCGCACCACCTGGCTCAGGCAGTGGTGAAGGTGGTCCCCACCTCTCCAAGCCAGGGAAGAGGGGAAAAACCCTGCCCATCATGTGGACACAGAAGCCAAGGGGCTACATACATCCCAGTCTGCCCGTGTGGCATCTGACCCCAAACAAAGGGGTAATAGCACATCCCTCACCTTGCACTGTGACTTCCAGGGTTTCACTGCGAGCCAGCACAGTGCCTCCATCCAGGTAATGGCAGTTGTAGGCACCTGTATCCCCTCGGGTGGCATTAGAGATGGAGAACTCAGCCCTGCTGCCACGCAGCTCCAGGCTGCGGAGCTTGCGGCCATTCTTGTACAGCACGAAGTTCCCATTGTCACGCTGGCAACTGCAGCAGATGGTGGTGGAGCCTCCCGGTGGGATCACCCCAGGTGGCTTCAGGAAGATGGAGATTGTGGGGGTACCTGCACAGGGAGAGAGATGTTGCCAGACAGACAGGGAGTCCCCAGCACCCAGCTGCCCTGTGGTGAGCCTGCAGCTGGCTCCAGGCCCCATCTCCACACCAGGGTGAGTCTGTGGGGCTGGAGAAGAGCCCTAGGAGACGCATGGAGGACCAGAGATGTGCCTAAACTCCCCATCTACCTCCTCATGATACTCACTTGGTGTAGCCTTGCTCTGTGCCACCAGCCAAGCACCTGCAAGAGAAACAGCTGCGTAACATCTCTGTGGAGTCTCTGGATGCCTCGTCACCCTCTGGAAGCCCAGAGAGACTGTGGCACTCACCAAAGGCTAGCACACACATCACAGGCAGCATCTTGTCCCTCTTGGCTCCCTCTGTCTTCGGCTCAAGCAGGGCTTCTTCAGGGGAAGGCTTCGGCAGGAGACACTGAGAAGCTGGGTGGCTTCTTGTGGGTCCTGATATGCACTTGTTGCCACAAACCACCTTCTGTTCCACGGCTTGCGTTTATGCAGACAATTGTGGGGCTGGGATGGTTCATCTGGAACCAGAATGTCCCAGTCACCTGCCCAGAACTGGGCACCCGTGATAGCCTGGTCTTAGGATCCTGTGGACCTTAGAAGAGAAGCTATTAGGGCTTTTTGTTTCTCTTTCATGGGCCTGGTCACTTGATGGGGAAATGACTTCCTTTCAGCTCTTGCAAAATAAGATGTTTTGCAACTGGGGCGGGGAGAAGAGACAGCGCAGAACTCTTTCTGAATCTCAGTGAGAAAGCTCCAACAACAAATTGCATCATAAAATAGCTGTTTTAATAAGATAGAGGAAAAAGTGGACTATAGACAGCAAGTAAATCTTACATCCCTTTGAAGGCAAGGCTCCCCACTTTCCTGCAGTATTGACAGACCCCAGATAGATTTTCCCACAGCATGCTGTGCAAAGTCTATCTGTGGAGATACCCCCAGTATCTGAAGGGGTGTAAGATTTACTTGTGATCTACATTCATCTTTTTTATTCTATGCCATTAAACCAGGTATTTTATTATGCCATTTGTAGTCAGGCCTTTCTCAGAGAGGTCCAGGAAGACCTCTGCACTATGTTATGCCCCCTTGTCATGCCCAGAAACCCTGCATGGTGTCCCCTGCCACAGTGCAGACCAGGTGGTGGAGGGGGAAAGGACACTATGTCCAGGCTGTGTTCTTCCCCACAGCTGCAGGGCAGGTTTGGTGGCTCCACAGAGTGGAATAGAAGGGAAGTAACATGGCTTCCCTTTTGGCCTTTTCAGGGGTTGTTTTGTCCCACCTGACCTATAGTGACTTTTGTTGGAGGAGGGACAGCAATATCTTCTACCTGTAGGTCTACATCCACCACACAGGGTTGGCCCCATTCCTCATCCATCCAGACCTCCCCAGTCCGATGCTGGAGCAATGGCAAGGTCCTTACTCCAAATAACTGCTTACTCTCACCACACCTGGAGCCTGGCCTCCGGTCTCCTCAGCTGCCATCTCGTTTGGGTCGGCCAGTGGTATAGACAGAGCTCCCTTTGGCAATAACGAAGGGTTAATTAGACAGGTGAAGTTGCTTGCACCTTTGGGTGATGTGGGAGCGAGGAGAGCAAGGAAAGGATGGATTGTGGGACCGGAGCTGTGTACAACAGGTGGCAGCTTGTCCAGGGATCCCATACTGCTGGAGACTGCAGCATCTGTAGCTCCCTGCCCTCCTACAAGCTGCAGACAGGCATGTCCTGCCTTCCTCTGACTGTGCACAATCTCTGCCACAATTGGCCCTGGCAGGAACAAAACTGCAAGGCTCAGCGCTAGGTAGATGGTGTTTATATGGCTGTAATCGAGGGGGAAAAGGTGAAGCGGCCACTGAACTTCTCCAATGCTCTTGGCTGCCCCATGTGGTTCCACCGACCCTCTCTACGCTTTTCTTTCTTCCCCCTTCAGCCTTCTTGGTCACCCTTGGAGATATCATGGGGTAGGAGAAGTTTTGCAGCAGAGTACCCTATGGCCTTCTCCTTTTCCGGGGCACCTGTTCTGCCCCCTCTCCTGTCTAACCCCGCTTTGCCTCCCCCAGGCTCGACCAATTCTTGATCTCTACTGGGATAGCCTCTCTTCAGGCCCATTCATCTCAACACTGTCCACACTGGACTGAGGGACACCAAACTACTCCAGCCTCACCAGTGCCCAGTGGAGAACAACCCCCGGTTCACCCTGCTAGCTATGCTCTGGCTAACACAGTCCGGGACTGAGTTGGTGGTGTTGCCACAGGGCCCACCCATGGGCATACTGGACTCCTGGACCCTCCTCTGCAGAGTCTTTTCTTACATCCCCCCAGCTGGAGAACTGCCTCTGGGTGCAAGTCCAGGGCATGGAACCATGGGAAGAGCTTTGCCCTCCAGTACAGCAACCCACTAACCACTCTTAGGGATTGCTGCATCCAGCAGCCTCAGAGAGTCAAGACTGCCTCAGCACCACACCCCCAGGTCCAACCATTTGTGGAGCCAACGGTGTATTTCCAGCAGGCAGACATGCAGGCATGCCTACACAACACATATACAGCCAGCCACACAGAGCACTCACACAAACGAACAGCACCAAAATCTCATCCTGCTCCCCTCTCTGCCTGATCAGGAAGTACCCCTTTTTTGAACCCCTTGAGGCAAATTTCAGCTTAAATATAAAAAGCTTTAATGAACAACGCATTGGGCAGTCTTGCTATCGTAAGCGGTTCTACAAGAAGTCTGAAAAGATGCAGTGTGAGCCAATTCCTTACATACACTTGCACCAGCAACAAAGCACCAATCCTATGAGTGCAGATTCGTTACCCAGTGCCATCTCTGATGTCCAAAGGTGGCACCTCAGCGACTGCATTGCATGATGGCCACAAGACAAGACTGCTGCACTTCTTACCTCATCAACAAAGGAAATTTCACTCCCTGTCAGGAGTCAATGTCCCTG